AACCTGTAAATATATTTTTCTTTTTTTTAATAAATCTTTCTTCGTCTCTGTCCCCTTTTAATCAAATTAAGAATTTATGTCTAGTGTTTCGCATCACTTATAATTCACGTGACCATTTTGAAATTGTAGTAGTACTAATAATTTTGCTGTTTAATGAAATTCAGTCACATTTTCAAGTGCACTAGACAAGTGTGTAACAAGTCATATTATTCATAATTATAAATAATACAAACTTATTTGGGTATGTAATGTATATATATATATATATATATAGTTATAAAAAAGTAAACTTCTTTTGGAATTTTTAAAAGACAATGAATAAGAATCAAAGTTTGCTTATGTAATAAAAATATTCAAAAGTAATAAAAATGATTCAAAATTTCCATTCAAATCAGAATACCATCTAGGGAAAATTATTAGTAAGTCCCTTCTTGAGGTGGAAATTGTATTATATTGGAGAATCAGAGGATCAAGGTACAAGCAGATATCGACTTGGAATTTTTGGTTCTTTGCTTGCACCATAAATCTATTTGTTTATACCGTGGCTCTTTGGTCCAGCATAATTTCTATTTCACTTGGGAGATTTGCTAACAATTTTTCCTTCCACCTAAGCAGTGATGTATGTGTGATGTTGTTAGTCGCCGCCGTAGCCCGTATTGTTTAATTTATTGAATTATTGAATTAATTATTCAATCAATCAAACATGAGGCGTCTAATTTCCAGAAAATTAAACACTTACAAGTTAGTCCGTTACCATTGACAGTATACCTTTTTTTTCCAGATTGATGGTTACAAATTCACCCCAAATTAGCTGCTTTCAAATTACGGAGACATTTCACAAATAAATATTTCTTCAGTTAAAATTATGGGTTTAATTTTTTTCGTATGCCACTAAAAAAAACAAATTCAAAGAAAGTCCACACACTTCATCTTATTAAACAAATGCTTGTCTTTCTTGCTAATTTAGCCTTCTCTTAGGAACATGAAAATTTGGATAAATTGAATCTCGAAACTCACTATGATTAGACTATGTTTTGAGACTCAAATAACATTTACAAAAGTATTTAGATCGCCTATTAACATAATTTTCACATTTGCAGCGAAATTTGATTCACCAATCTTGTAGATGAAGTGTCCAATTTTTATTAACTAGACTAACATTTGCCGGTGTTAATTAGGGAGTCTATACTATCGTATTATCCATCTTCAACGCAATTGCTTCATATTGAAATTGGCGGTCACTATTTGAAAATGCTATTTATCTAAATGAATGAACAACGGAGAGGATATTCCCATAAGATGGTCTTTTTTGAAAAAAAAAAAAACCATAATTTTAGCCGTAAAGAACTTGACTTTCACAACCGGTACTATGATATATTGATATTGACAGATTAAAGTATATTACAAGAGGAAGACGATGGGATAAATTAAAATTATAAATTATAAATTATAAATATGAGTAAAATGACGGAGGACGGGGCGCGGAAAGTTTGGAAGTTACGTAATATATCCGATTGGTTAGAATTAGAAATATTTTGAGCATTTTATTATTTATGGAAGAAGTTAAATAATGTGATAATACCGTGAGACTTTTTTTTTTAATTTGGGTAAAATAATACCATGAGACTTTAATTGGATAACGCCTTCCCCACTGCAATACAATGATCTATGGATGTTACAGTAGTCAAAGATTTGCTATCAAATGCCTTAACATTTTTCTGTTGTCTTGTGTGTGATGCTTTTGTATCGAGCTGGGAGAGATTGGAGAAAATTTCCAAGCGTTTTAATTACATGTATGGAAACAATTTTATTCAAACAATTTCTATTATTTTTTCAAATTTAAATATTCAGCTCATGATAAATTTTTTATTTTTTTACAGTTTGATCTCAAGACCTGACAATTAATTTTACGACTTTTTTTTTTGGTACATTTATTTTTAAATTCGATCATAGGAAATTTTCTGCTCGTGTTTACAAAATTGTAGTCTTGAGTAGTAAATCTAATTAATACTTGAATCGGTGATAATGCATTTCCTTGCATCGGGGTTAGATGATACTCTATATTAAATTAAAATGAGTAAAATAATCTTTTTTTTTCAGGCCCAAAAAAATAGCATTCATCTTTCGTCTATCTTATTTTAATTATGTATATCTACTTTTTATTTATAAACCTGTACGAATATTTTCTGAAATCAATAGTCACTCATTACAAACTTTCTTTTTACTTAAAAAAATAATGAAAATTTTAATTTTTAAATTTGTCTCAAACATTGATCTAGTCATTTAAGTTTAATTTTTATAGATTTAGTTTCTTGCATTTTATTATAAAGAAAGTTTCTAAAGTTTTAAAACACTCTAAAATTAATCTAATATGTAAAGTATTTTGATAACTTGGCATATATATATATATATAGTTAAATGATGAGAAATTCACCCTTAAATCAATTTAGGTTATTAATCTAGTACCTTGTGCCACTTTTTTTCCCTTTTGTTTATTTAAAATTTTTGACTATATTTTTTTACTTAAATAATTACACTTTTTTTTTATTAATCTACATGTTTGTCATCAATATTCTACAAAAATTGAAATTGATTTGTTGATCATTAGAATATTGGGTATCTTATAATTTAAGTTAAACGGGAGGAACTCCTGTATTTTACTCTTAAAATATTAATGAATTTGTTTATGATTCGTCTGAAGGTGATATAATAGCTTATTAAAATATTAACTTTGTTGCAAATAATATGCCTAATATAACAAACAAATGAACAATCGACAAAATAGGTATTGTAACTGTAATCTCTTTTTAATAATCTGTTTGTTAAATATTTTCACAATATTTGATTATACAAGTATAAATATATATCATTTGTTTTAAATTTTCTTAATAAACACAACATATATAAATTATTATTGAATTCTCTTTTATCAGTCATTTCAATTTTTGGCCTAAAAGATAATCTTTTCAAAACGTTATTAGAAAAAATGGATAGATGGAAAAACAAATTAACATGTGAAATAACAGAACCACATATTAGAGAAAGGACAGACAAAACACAAGTCACTATCTAGATTTTAATAGTTAATAATATTTTTAAATTCAAGATCAAGAAAACCTCCCATGTAATATGCTCCGTCAGGATCTAACACAAACAATATTATTAGCAAAATGAAAAGTCAGCGATAATGATACGTTGCTTTCTTTGTGTTAATTTATATTTATAACACACTCACATGTTAAAAAAAACCACATTAAACAGTAATATAAACTTTTAAAAATGTCATTCATGTAATATTTCATTTGTAAAATAATATTTAAGAGAGAGAATATAATAAGAAGGATAATATTAAAAAATATCATTAGTAAAATTTTGTTTTTTATCAAAGTGTCTTAATTTTAATTAGTCAAATTTCTTTTAAATTAAAAATGTCTTATAATTTGTGATAAAGGGAGTATGCATAGTTTAACATGAAATATTCTTATGTAAACAATTGAAAGTATATACATACATACATACATACATATACATATATATACATACATATACATACATATATATATATATATATATAAGAGCAACTTGATTCGAAAGATTGATGTATGTTACATGTTTATAAATCAGAAATAAATGCAACTTGCTCTATTATATGTGTCATATGTTTATATACTTATATTGATTTTATAATTAAAATAACAATAGAAACAAAACACATCACTAAACAATGACTACAATACAAAAGTTAGTGACTGAATATAGTTTGAAATATCTGACATAAGGGCTATATATATATATTTGTATAATGGTATCCGTTACTAACTCCATTTTAAATTTATTTGTTTTCAGGTTATACCCATACATTAATTTTTTTTAATTGACGTATAATATTCCGATATATCCTCATTCAAGAAAGAGAAGATAAGGTCACGTTCTTGTTTGTTATGATTTATGATGTAAAAGTTTAATGGAATGAACATTTTTCATGGAATCAATTTGCACATTTAGTATAAATAAAAACATTGAACAACTAAAGTCTACATGAGTAGTAGATACTCTCATCTTTAATATAATTGACAAAAGTATATTCATCACTCAGTATATCCGAAGATATATTCTCTATTAGTGACGGAACTACTCCTTCTACTTACACCCAAAAAAAAAAAAACATTGAATATGAATGTGTATTTTTTAAATAAACTTTTATTTTATCAGATGTAAAATCTAAAATAAAAAATAGTCACATAACTATTACTTTTTTTAAAAAAACCATCATTAAAAAATTGAATATTAAAAATTTTAAATTCAAACTATATCCAAGCCAAATTTGAGCAGTTTAAATCTTATCATGTTGCGGTAAACACATGGTACTCATGTGGCTGGGTTATTTGCTACTTTGCTGGATCGAAGTATGAGCATAACCCTTTTCGGATATATAATTGAAGTTTGAAAATTAAAAATAGAAAAAATTAATCTTTTAATCCTTTAACTTTTAACTCATTTATAAATCAATCTCTCAATTATATATAACTCGTTATGACTCAATCTCTCACCTTTTGACTTGTTTAAAACTCAATCCCTCAACTTTTTCTATTCTCTTTTTTATGTTAGTTTAGATCCCACTTCAAAAAATAAGAAGAGGGTCTTTTAGAGCAAGATATAAGCATTTCTTTTATCCATCTTATTTGATGAGGATATGTTTTTAAAAAAATTTGAGAAATAAAAAATGAGTTATAAGTAAATCAAAAATTGAGGGACTAAATTGCAGTTAGTCATAATTAAAGGATTAAGTGTTGAAGCAATAAAAAATTAATTTTCCCGTAAAAATATTTTCTAGTCTTTGAGTTGTAGGTCAGGGGAACCTATAGTATTAGCTGAATTAAAAATTGTGGCGGGCGCTGATTCAAGCCAAGCACCATCGATCTAGCCCTATATAAATACAGCATTAATAATTGGATGAATGGCAAATCATATACCCAATTCCACACAAGTTGGTCGGGGGAACAAAAATCATGCGAAACTGCAACACCATGTTTTGGCCGTCAAATCAGCGCCCATGCCCAGATTGGGAGTTCTGGCAGGAGCCCTCTGATGGTTTTCTGGTCTCACTGTCAAGCAGCCAAGTTCACGACGACCCTTTCCATGATTATCTCTGCTTTGATATGGTTGACAGGGCAAATCAACCACTGGTGAATATGGAAGCCATGGAAGCGAAGACTGTCAAGGAAAGAACATACATAGGGGTGAGGAAGAGACCATGGGGAAAATTCGCAGCAGAGATCAGAGACACTACCAGGAATGGCAGAAGAGTTTGGCTGGGAACGTTCCAGAGCGCGGAGGAAGCTGCTTTAGCTTACGACCAAGCTGCATTCACCATGAGAGTCAACTCTGCTGTTCTGAATTTTCCGGTGGAGAGGGTTAGGCAGTCTCTGCGAGATATCAGGTATGGCTGCCGCAAAGGCTGTTCGCCTGCTTTAGCCCTCAAAGAGAGGCACTACATCCAAAGAAAACTGTCGTCAAAGGCTGAGAAAGACAGAGCCAAGCAGCAACCAGAGGTGGTGGTTCTAGAGGACTTGGGCGCTGAATATCTGGAGCAACTTCTCAGCGCATGTGATCAAAATACAAGCCCTATTTACTTCAAATAATCAAACCTGTTTCACAACTTTATTACTGTTACTTCTATCGGTTCACATATATACTTCTAAATTGTGATATCTTGGTAATTAGAAGAACACTCTCCCCGGCCTTTCCGTTCTATTTGTTGGTATTCGTTGAAAAATTTCATTTCTGATGCAAGAAGGAAGGAGTATAAAAAATTATAATGATCATACCTTCAGCTGAAGCTACGCTACTCACAAGGCATTATCCCGACCATTGCATCCTTCTCAGTTGACTTCTTTGTTTCCAGCTAACCCTCGTGGCGTCTGCATTTTGAAGTTCTATAAGCTTAAGTCCTTTCTTCAACCATAATATGTGACGTTCAACTTGCAGAAATCTGTTTCAAAAGTAGCTCCAAATCCTTCACTAGTTTTACCCCAAAGAGAAATCTTCACAAGACATGGCCAAAAGAGACGAATTAATCTTACCACAAAGACCATTTATTTTCAATCACACAGCACCTAAAATATATTTTGATGAGCATCACCGTAAACAGAAATATTCACAAAACACAGGGAAAAGAATACACATATTAACTTCGCGAGGAAATTAAACATAATTAACTTGCACAGACGATTCTATTTCCCAAAAAAAAAAAAAATTGCATTGACGATTAGAATCTTTCCCTATATGACAAAGGATATGGCCAGAAATTCTCCATTTCACTGAAGACTAGGGAGATGATATATATATTTAAGGCCTGAGGATACTAGTATTGTTCGATGAGTATGGAACTATGGATTACTAATAATGTCTACGGTAAAAATCTTGTAGAGTTTAGAGAAAGAAGCAAGTCTCATTCATATATTCTCACTCTTTATGCCAGTCTCTCTTAAATTAACAAAAACTTTGTAATCAACTACTACAAAAGATGTTCGCACAGGCATTTGATCCTGTAGGAAAGTGTAATACTTTAACCAGAATAGCAGTCAGCAGGGACACGAGATTTTACGTACATATGATAATGAACTAAGGTGGCGTTTGGAGTTTAGATTTAAAATCTCATATTTAAAATCATTTATTTAAAATTATTTATTTGGATAATGTAAAAATCTTAAAAAGAAAGAGAGAAACAAACTAAGTTTCAAAGTGAAAATGGAGGATTGAGAGTAATGAATTTACCTCTACTCTTTACTCAATAAAAGACAAGAACAACTGAGAGATGAGAGAAAATGCGAGAGTGACAGAAGCACCAATAGTGAAAATGAAAAAAAAAAAGAGAGAGAAGTTTGGAGTAGTTAAAATTTTAAATAACTAAAGTATAAAGATAAATTGGAATTATAATGAAATTATGACAAGAAATATATATTTGGATTTGAATAAAATCTAGATCTATTGATTTTTATGCATCCAAATGAGGGATTTGACCCAAACTTAAATTTTTATTAATCTAAACATAACGAATTTGCTATTACAATAAATTGTGGTTTATTCCGTTATCAAGTATTACAGGATACAGCAGCATGGAGCATACGTATTTCATTTCCACACTTGCATGCACTCTACTAACTAGAGAGCAAAGAAAAATTAATAACTAGAGACAGCAAATAGAAAGAAATATGACTAGTTCCTTATCTCAAAGGCTCAAACTGTAAGTAGTTGTTTATCCCAAACTCCATAACAACATGACTCATGATCTAGTTAGCTGATCAAAAAGCAAGTTGTGCTTGCAATTGGAAGGTTCTCTCTGTATTTTCAAAATATTAATCACAATAAAATTAAATTGACAGTTGATTCTAGCATGACAAAATATCTCTCCAACTGCATGCAATTTCCCCATGTATAGCACAACATCATATTTAATAGAAAAATCAGATCCTATCTCACAAAATTAACAAAAATAAGATGAACACTGTACAATTTACCAATAATGTCATGCCTCGTTTAGTTGCCATTTTATATCCCATAATAGTCATCAGAGTGATTTTGAATTCTACAACCACCAATAACCAGAAATCATGTCAAGTGTACCAAAAAGTAGTTAATAAAAATGGTAAAAGCAACCAAGTTAGGCAACCTCAAATATTGATGATGGAAATTTAGATAAAGGCTCGCAAATTCGATTCTCATTAGGAAAAAGAAAAGGTCAAGTTAAGAATCATCGAGGTCATCGAATAAATCAAGTAAAAAATTAGGAAATCTCAAATAAAATGCTTTCAACAAATGTTATTTTTATGATGGCAGCAAACAAACTTTTCTTTACTGTATGACATTCATAGAAGAAAATCCAACACATATCGTATATACGCTATAAAATAAGAAAATACAACATTGGTTTAGTCACGGCATAAGATAACCAGTCGACAACAAGCATGCACTCGGTTCGTAGTAAGCGCACAAAGTCATGGAGCAAACTGTAGCTCATGCTACGGTTCATGATTCTCAAGAAAAACTACTGGCATGCATATCCAGATATGGCAGATTTCAGGTTGAAATTTGCGGCTCACATTGACGAGTCTTTCGTATCAAGGGACAATCCCTACTCCAGACTCAAGAAAACAAAAAAAAAAAAAAAGGGTACACAAAAGCCCTATTTGTGTTACTCTTACTAAAAGAGGTGGGGGATGTATTATTTGATACCTGATCCGGTAAATGCTTGAGACTCCAGGATAAATAAATTGATCTCTCCAGGAAATAATGATTGCATAGGCTGGCTATTAAAAAACGAATAGAAAAAGGATAAAAGATAATTGCTATGTAATTGGTGGAAATCGTCACATACATAGAGATCTTCATGTCAGCTATCGAATTCTAAACATGAATACCAAACAACATATATGTAACACGCATCTACATCCTAGAATCCTAGATGCTTGGACAAAGATGATGCACATTCCATCACTCATCGGCGTGCGTGATATGTGTGCGTGCATAAAAAAAAATCATAGCATCCAATATTTTCAGGCATCTGAAGTCAAAACAGAAAGTTAAGACAATTTTGAAAATAAAAAAAAAAATGAAAGTTGAAGTCTTGATGAAGACAAATAAAACTTATAAGTGTGTATATATATATATATGTCGGGTGGTAATTAGCATCAAATGATAAAATATTGAAAAAGTCTACATGAATCAAAAGTCTAAATTCTAAAACATACAAAATTAAAAGGAATTACCAATCAGACAGAGATGTTCAAACAAAATGTGAGAAGGAAAAAGACACAGATATGTGTGTGTGTGTGTGTGTGGTGTGTGTGTGTGTGTGTGTGTTAATAACAGTAGTAGCAAAATGGTTATTATGTCAGTTGAAAAGATATACAAAATCTAATGATACGACTTAAGTCCTTGGACGCGGGTCTCGCCATTGTTAATATTAACACTTTTTTTTAAAAAAAAAATCATTTCTGCAAACGATGTTTATATTAATTAATACGGATAGAAAACAATTGTTATACTGGAGATGATGGGAAAGTCCTTTTTAATCAATCAGATAACGACTATATATCTCAGTGCCATTAAATTTTACTGGAATATCTGCAAGACATCAACCAGCAACAAGGGAACCGTTTCATCATAAGTATTTTTCGATCCAGAATAATGGTAGCGGTAATCAAGCAATAAAAAGAAGAGGGAATTTCATATTTACCCTGGGAATAAATTCATGGTATCCTCGCCTTGCCTATTACCTGCACCGGAAATAATTTTTCTTGAAAGCAGAATAGCAAAATCAGGATTCGCAAAAATTGGGAATCCGAAAACATCGAAGCAGTACGGAACTTGCGAAAACTGGGTTTAGCATCGAAGGAAAAGCATGAACCGTAAGGCACAGAAGGAGGGATTTTCGTGGGAGTGAAGAATGTTAGGGTATGAATTACAGAAGCGGCGGGGGGAAGAGAGAGAGGTGCTGGTTTTCCAGGAAAAACGGGCATTAAGAGATTAACAGTGTCTGATCTCGAGGGAACAAAATAAGTTAAATGCACCGCCATGAAATTACAAAGCTTTCCAGCTTTGTTTGGGCCCCCAAAAAAGTGTGCGCGCTGTGGATAATACGGTAAATGCCTTGATATTTCTTTTGGCTCTTAACTTAAGCATAAATAAAAATAATATATTTGCCTATTTAATACTTTTTGTGAACTAAATTTTAACGAAAGTATTAACAATTTTATTTTTATATAAAATGATTTTATATTTATTAATAAAAATTCTAATAATTTTTTTTAATAGTGTTTAACTTTAAAGGCCGTAAAAAACTTGCTCTCCCACCTCATCTTTATACCTATTTCTAGCCAAATTGACACCCAAATGACAAAATGGAACTCTATATCGTTTGAGATGTTTTAAGCTTTTATAAAATTATTTCTACTAAACATTATATTTCTGGTAAACATGAAACTTCATGCAATTTAACTTAATAATGATAACTATAATTAAAGTAAAGTTTGGATTGGTGGAATTGAGTTTCAATTTAGATTTAAAATCTCATATTTGGGTGGTATAAAAAATTTTAATTTTCAAAAATAATGAGAAAAAGATGAAAAGAATGAAAATGAGAAGAGAACGAAAAAGTTAGAGTAACTATCATTTTAAATAACTACGATATGATGTAAAAGAGATTTGAAATTACAAAAAAAAAGTATAATAAAATATGGATTTTCATGTATTTTTATGGATCAAAATGATTTACCTGGATTAAATCCAAATCCCCTACATCCACACGCAATATAAATATTTTTCTAAAAAATATCCAATTGAAATTTCTAGAACAGGAGAAAAATAAATAAAACTCAACTAATTGTTTTTTAAAAATAATGTAATTTACTCTATCAAGAAAAATAATATACTAGCTTGAATACTATAAGTGCAGAATTTGTCACACATATCCTACGAATCACTGACATATTGTAGATAACAAACCGTGAGAAGGGAAGGCACTTCTAGCATAATAGGAGATTGATTCCTCTACATTTAAAAATGGCAAATTTCTGTGGAAAAAAAAATCGGTAAATTTCATGAAGCTGGTCTTTAAAAAAAAGATTTTATATTTTATTATAAAAAAATAAAAAATAAAACTAAAAGGTAACATA